GATTGGGATGTGAGTACAGTCTCTCCAGACCTTTCCCTCACGGCTTTGTCGTATACCGGATTGGGATGTGAGTACAGTCTCTCCAGACCTTTCCCTCACGGCTTTGTCGTATACCGGATTGGGATGCGAGTACAGTCTCTCCAGACCTTTCCCTCACGGCTTTGTCATATACCGGATTAGGATGCGAGTATAGTCTCTCCAGACCTTTCCTTCACGGCTTTGTTGTATACCGGATTAGGTGCGAGTACAGTCTCTCCAGACCTTTGTATTTTGAAGAAATTGTCGGTGCCCTCATCGGTGTGCTTGACTTATGGTAGATATTGCCCCAAGGATGTTGGGAATTCTCTTCTGTTCTTTCTTCTTCCCCTCTTTTACTCTCTGAAGATGATGGGGCACTTAGAAGAGGAGACCAAGAGATCCCTGTTGTAGTTTCAATTGCTGTTTATCCAGGTACGGGGGGAAATGGGAATTATTTATATGTAGAGTTTTATGAGGGAACTGGGTAGAGGAAGAACCCTTACGGTTATGAGTAATTTTATAATTATGTCTGTTTGGAGAATTAATTATCTTATTTGATTCTGTATATATTTAAGACTACGAATATATGATTTGTTTGTAAAAATGATGCTCTGGAAGAGAGAACGAAATTATAGAAAAGTGCTTGTAAGTTAGGTTTTGGGAAAAATTAGATTATTTCTGTTTGAGGAATTAATGACCCCATTAGATTCTGTATGTGTTGAAGATTAGAAATACATATTTAATTTGTAAGAATGGTGATCTGAGATGGAGAACGAAACTGTAGAAAAGTGCCTGTGAGCTAGGTTTTGGAATAATTAGGGATTTTATTGTTTATGTTGATAATTCCATTGATTATTATTACATTTATCAATGTTATATTAAATTGGTAATTCTATTAATTTAATATTGTATTAAACTAGGAAATTAATTGAGTTGTATATTATTATTATATTGTTGTTATAATGAGTATTCATGGTGAATTGTTTGATGAGTATGTGAATCGTTGCATGGAGTGAACTTGACAGTATGTAGTATGGAATTGTGATATGAGATGAGATGTTGTGTAGATATGATTATGATTGTGATTATGGTACCTCCACATCTATGACCAGGGATGGCACGACCCTGGGTAAGTGATGCTACAGGGAGGGCGTGACCCTGGCATGATGTGGGATGAGTGAGACAATTAACACGTATCACTTATGTCAATTGTGGCGTGACCTTGACATAGTGTTAATTGTAAGAATTGTGTGGATTGTGATGTGATTGTGGTTCTTCACACCTATGACCAGGGGTGAGCACGGCCCGAGATTGTTACATGAGTATTGTGACCTTGGTTAACATGTCAGGGGTGAGCACGACCCTAGGTTAGGGGTAACGTGACCTTGGCACAATGTTATATCAGGGGGTGAGCACGGCTCTGGATTGTTATGTGAGTATCGTGACCTTGGTTAACATGTCAGGGGTGAACACGACCCTAGGTTAGGGGTAACGTGACCTTGGCACAGTGTTATATCAGGGGTGAGCACGGATCTGGATTGTTATGTGGGTATCGTGACCTTGGTTAACATGTTAGGGGTGAACACGACCCTAGGTTAGGGGTAACGTGACCTTGGCACAGTGTTATATCAGGGGTGAGCACGGCCTTGGATTGTTAAATGGGTAGCGTGACCTTGGCATAGTGTGAAGTGCAAGATTTGTGATGATGGGTGTGATTGAGAATTATGATGTGATGACGATGCATGGTTGATTGATATACGTTATGCTGAAATATTTATGAATATTTAGTTATAATGAGATAATATGTTCTATTTTCTTATGTGCTATATATATATAGATGTTTTCTTTTCTCACCGTATGATTTGTGGATATTTTTAGGTGAGGAAGATCCGGCTTTGAGTGGCATCTATGATGCCAACAATTGAATTGTGGGTGTGCTCTGATATTGTGACATCGGGGCAGAAAATTCTAAGACAAATGGACATCCTTGGGCCTTTCCCCCCCGCGAAGGGTCAGTTAAAGTTCCTCCTGGTGGCAATCGACTACTTCACCAAGTGGATCAAGGCGTGCCCACTTGCCAAGATCACCACGGAAAACATGCGAAAGTTCACGTGGAAAAACATCAATGAAAAATAGTTAAATTTTACTCTATTCTATCTTTATTATAAGATATTTTTAACTAAATGATATATATTAATATAAATAGTCATATTAATTGATTTTATTAAATTTATACAATAAAATAATAATTTACCAATTTTACTATTTTAAATTATCATTAAAATTCTATGAGAGGGGTGAAAATATTACTCCATATAAAGACTTATGTACCTATATTAATAAAAATAATAAATGATAATTGAAAAATTAAAAAAATAAGAGAGAGAAACACATACTCTCACAATTTTTAATAAAATAAAAAATAAAAGTAAAAATAATATTTTGTAAAATTTATAAAAATTTTCTAAAAAAAAATCAACAATTTATTATAATTTTTTATCTTATAATAAAGATAGGAGAGTAGTTAATAATGTCATTACTTAAATTTTTATTCTAATAAAACTTATAGAGTGAAGTTGTATTAATAGTAGACTAGTAGCTATATTTATTAACATTGTTGATAAGTCAAAAACATAATTTTTTTTACTCAATAAACATGATTTATACTATTAATAATTTAATAAATATATGTTACATTAAAAAAAAGAGTGGATTAGTCATTAATAAATTTACAATAAATAATAATATAAATAAATATAATCAATTAATATATTTAAAATAGACTTTTAGTTCTTTTAAATAAGACCAAATCAATAAAGACTTATGTATCTATATTAATAAAAATAATAAATGACAATTGAAAAGTTAAAAAAATAAGAGAAAGAAACATATACTTTCACAATCTTTAATAAAATAAAAAAAACTAATATTTTGTAAAATTTATAAAAAATCAACAATTATTCTAATTTTTATCTTATAATAAAGATAGAAGAGTAATTAATAATGTCATAATTTAAATTTTTATTCTAATAAAACTTATAGAATCAAGTTGTATTAATAGTAGAACAGTAGTTATATTTATTGACATTGTTGATAAGTCAAAAATATAAATTTTTTCAATCAAGAAACATAATTTATAGTATTAATAATTTAATAAATATATATCACATTAAAAAAAGTAAACTCATTAATAAATTCATAATAAATAATAATATAAATAAACATAATCAATTAATATATTGAAAATAGAGTTTTATTTCTTTGAAATAAGAACAAATCAATAAGAAAAATAACCCAACGGAAAAAATAGTATTTTTCTTTTGATATGTGAAATCATTAGATAATGCCACGAGGGCGGGCATATGCAGCTGTCGCAACCAAAGGACAACAGCGAAAAATATAAATGAAAAAAACATAACATAAATGTAATACTTATTTTTCTTGTCGGAAAGTAAAATTAGAGTTATACATTAGTGTTTTTGGAGTCAGCTATCCCACTAGGTGTCTTCAACGTAGCGAGGAGATTAGACACTGCTGTCGATGGTGGATATTCAGGACAAAAAAAAAAAGAGTTATACATGAGAGAGACAACAAAAATACGAATACAATAGCTGTTACTAGAAGGATGTATACACCTAGAGTGAGATAGAGAGAGAGAAAAAAAAAAGGACTCTAGTAGCTGGTAGTAGACATAATAGAAAGAAAGTGAAGAAGGAGAGAGAGTGTGGTGAGTTCATTTTCATTTTTGATAGTCTTTCGAGTTTTGAGTCTGCTTTACTCAACACTCTACACTGCCCTATAACACCACCATCTGGTTTTTCTCTCAAACCATTTCTTTCTTTCTTTTTTATTTAGTGGTTGGTGTGGACATCCTCAGTTTTTGACTTTGATTTTGCTGCCTCAAAGCTGCTTTGAATTTATTTTCTTTGTTAAACTTGGCAATTATTGTCCAAACTATTACTAACTACAGAGGAACTCTCTAGTCTGCTACTCTTGCTTGCTCTATCATTTTCTGCTATTATTACCCAAATTCCATTTTCTCCCTTTATTTTATTAGGTGCCTTTCTCTTTTCCTTCTTACTTTTGACTGCTTTTCATTTCAGATTTGGGGTTTGATTCATTGGTTCTTGCTATTTGTTGTTGAAAGTGTGTGAAAGAGAGTTATGGCAGGAGGTGGGGGAGCTCCAGCACCTAAGATTGATGAGCCACAGCCACATCCACCCAAGGATCAGCTTCCAAATGTTTCTTACTGCATTACGAGTCCTCCTCCATGGCGTGAGTTTCTCTCACCATAGATTCCATCATTTCTCTGCTCTTACTTTGAACCTGATTCCTTACCCATATGGTATATTTAAAAGCATGTTTTGCCATTCTGCCTTTACTTGTTTTGCGCATGCTGCCCTTTTCTTAATTCTTTAAAGTGGCTTTCAGTAAATTCTTTCCTTTTTGTTGCTTTGATGAGATAAAGATATTCCACTGGAAAATTCAACTTATTCTTAAACTGATTGTAATTTTGTGTTCATCAAGGCATGTGGAAGAAATTTAAGGGGATCAGGGAAAAAATAGTTATTGGTTGTTTAATTCACGGGCCATGCCTCATAATTTTTCATTTTTCTATTTGTTTATCTGAGGGATTGAGTTCTGGTTTATGAAAGTCAAATAAAAGTATTTTTTTTTTTTCTGATTGGAACCAATTCGATGTCCTATTTGGCTATTTCCAATTGATTGAATTTCTTTTAAAATTTAAACCTCTTTTTTTTTTTTTTTCCTTCATTCTTGCAACTCTGTTGTAATTCTACATTTGTATTGAGGCTCTTCCCAGTTATTTCCCGATCCGGGTTTGGTACTTTACAGACTATTTTGATATTGCTATTAATTCCGGCTCCTGGTGTAATAATTTTAAAATATTTTACCAGTTATTAATAAGTTTTTCTTTTCTTTTTTTGGAAAATTTATTATTCATTTATTGAATTGGGGACGTTTTGTAACGTCGCGTGCAGTCAACACTCATCAACTTCTGATTGAACAATTTGGATTTTATGGATAAATTAAATGCCGTATTCTAACATCACGCCAAGTAGTTGAAGTTTTAAAGTTTAAGTATCTACTTCTTCCCTGGGCTTATGTTGTTGAAAATTTGACTAAGATAGTATCTGGTTTTCCTTTTCTTCTTTAATTTGATGAGAAATTTGGTGTCATTATGATGCAGCTGAGGCCATACTTCTTGGTTTTCAACATTATCTTGTGATGCTCGGTACAACTGTGCTAATTCCTACTGCTCTTGTTCCTCAGATGGGAGGTGGCAATGTAAGAATTAACAAATTAAATATACTTAAAAATACAATTTTAAATGTCATATGAAATAATTTTGAAAGGGTTATCTGAACAATTGTAACTATTCTCCTAGCCAAAAATTATAGATATAAAAAAAGGAGAAAATTGAAAGTCCATTTTTTGCAGGAGGAGAAGGCAAAAGTTATCCAAACACTACTCTTTGTAGCTGGAATTAACACATTGCTGCAAACTCTGTTTGGAACTCGATTGCCTGCAGTAATTGGAGGGTCTTATACTTATGTTCCAACAACAATCTCTATTATTCTTGCTGGCCGGTTCAGTGATGAACCAGATCCTATAGAGGTTTTGTATCAGAAAGATTATTTTCTATAAATTGTGTGCGGTTGATATGTTTGCTAAATAAAGGCTTCCACATGATTTGCAATCTATATCATCTTTTACCAAATTTATGCTATAAGTGTCATCAAAGACTAAACTGTGCAGTGCTTGATTGTATTTGAAATAATAAAAAACATAATTTTCCAATTAGGGTTGAAATCAATACATTACAACTGTGTAAACTGTAAAGACCAAGGTCTTGGATTCAGTTCCTGGTGGGCTTGTGGCATACCTTTACATTGTGATGTGACAATTTATAGAAGAAAAAAAGAGTGTAGTTTTAATTCATGGAGCTGAATATGACATTGGATCCTGATGTTTATTTTATGGAATTTCTTGATCACTATTTTGTTTTTTGGGTGTACATGAACAGTTTAATCACTTTCTTCCAATGCCTTTTGGCTTTTATTTTTTCTTCTATTCAGAAATTCAAGAGGATAATGCGGGCAACCCAAGGTGCTCTTATTGTTGCTTCAACTCTTCAAATAGTACTAGGCTTTAGTGGCCTTTGGCGTAATGTTGCAAGGTTGGTCTCAAGTTCTTAGTAAGTGACTGTGATATATTTTCTTGGTCTTCATATATGGTTGAAAAATGTCTAAATTTAAGTGTAATCAAGATTCAGGGTTGTATTTGACATATATGCTCATCATCTGTTTTTACTCCAAAATCCAAATTGATTTTATGTTTGGAGTACATATTAAATTGATATGCTTGAATGATTTGTAAGATGGAATTTTTATCAACCATGTATTCCCCATAAGCCAAAAAGCTTAAAAGAACTTGATAATCCGCTGATTGAGTGTAATATTCCCAAGTGATGCAAGTTCAACTTCTTTCTTCAGGTTCTTATGTCCACTTTCAGCAGTTCCTTTGGTATCTCTTGTTGGTTTTGGGCTTTATGAGTTGGGCTTTCCTGGGGTAAGTACATATTTAAATTGCTTGGGTTCAAAGCTCATAGATAAAAATAATTCAATATTGATGCCCAGCTTTTGTGTAGATTGCTAAATGCATAGAGATTGGACTGCCAGAGCTTATATTGCTAGTATTTGTTTCACAGGTAGAGTTCTTCAGTGTCATAAACCCAGTGTCTACATAAAATAATCTTAGAATCATGATCTCAGTTCATTTTGTTCTCTTGATTTCTTTACTTCTATGTCATGGTGGCTGGCTTCTTTGAAACTTTGTTGATAACAGTTGATGGTTTTCATGCAGTTTGTACCCCATGTGCTACATGCAGGAAAACATGTCTTCGACCGTTTCGCTGTTCTATTTACAGTTGCAATTGTATGGCTATATGCTTATCTGCTCACTGTTGGAGGGGCCTACAACCATGCTGCACCTAAAACACAGTCAACCTGCCGCACTGATCGTGCTGGTTTAATAGAAGCTGCCCCATGGTTAGTTTTGGACTTTCAATGACTATTTACTCTAAATGGTAGTTTTTTTCTTTATTAGCTGATTATTTAATTACCAAAATGTCCTTAAATTTGGGTAATATTTTACTATGCTATTTTATTTCTGTGATTGCATCATAAATTTAGAAATGTACCTTCAATTTTTGAAATATAGTAAACGTAGTTCTTATTACTCCGTTAGGATGTTGCTGTAACAACACATGGAAATTTGTGACATGGATGGCATGTGGCAGCCATGTGGCTGTTGTAATGACAGACAAGTGACTCAAATCTAAATTGGGCATAAAAATTCTCTAGTGCCTGCTCCTTGATATCATTTGATAACTAACATGGTTCCAACACTAGAAGCTCTAACTCAACAGCCTTTGCAAAACTCTGCTAATGACATGGATAAGGCTCAAATTTCATTGGTATTGACACAATCCTTGGTTAGACCCTTTGGACTCGACTGTCAAAAAAATTCTCCCCATGGGATTTAAAGATTTCAATTGAGTGAAGTAGTGTTTTTAACATCAACTCTACCTAATGCGTAACCTTTTTGGGTAAGGTATCCCAAAAGGATTGAAGAGCTGTGACATCCCTTGATATTTTTTGCCTCATTATAGCTGAAATTGTGCAAGGGTGAAAAATCTCAACCTTGGCTTGGATATTGAATAACTTATCTAGATACCACCAACATGTCGTTGGTTGTAGTGAAATTGGGTTCAAATCTCTTAAGCTAAGTCTCATGTTCAAGCCTTATGAATGAAAAAGAAAATGGTTGGGAGGGGAACCTCCACTAAAGGTGTCCAACTTGATTTTCTGGTGGAAATTAGTTATCAGCAAAATTAGTGGATACTTCACACCTATAACGTGGTGATCTAAAGACAAACAAAAAAACTTATCTAGACACCCTTAAGGCTTTTTGAAGGTCAAGTGAAAAAGGGACTAACCACTGAACATGTCTGTACCAAAGAAATTTAAGGTCATATCTTGATATGAAGTTTTGCAGAGTTTGTTGAATTAGAGGTTCAAATGTTGGTTAGTGAAGGGTGTAAAGGAACATGCATTTTAGGTTTTTGACTCCAAATTTATATTCGAGTCACTAGTCTATTGTTGCAGCAGACCACGTGTCATCCATGCCACACTCATATGGGATATGTCCACATGTTGTTAGAGCAGCCACTCTTACAAAGTGAGTAATAGGGATTATTTTCAATATATTTCAAAAGGTGGAGGACATAAACCACTATTTTTAAATGCAAGGATCAAAATCACATTTAATTTGACCAATTTACAAGAACCAAGATCAAGTTTGACAATTTTACATGGACCAAAAAATTGAAAATTACACGTTGACACATGCCATGTGTCAAATATGTTGCATGTGATAGCCGTTAGCCATGTTAGCATTTAAGAAAGACAAGGACTAAAACCACGTTTTTTAAAATGCAAGGACTAAAACTAATTTTAACCAAATCTTCAAGGACTAAAAACACATTTTACCCTTCCATTACAATAATTAATATTATTTCAGTTGGACTCTTGCACCATTGAGATATTATTTTATTGTTATAGGGTAATTTACTATTTAGTCAAGGCTTTGTGACTTGAAATTTACGGAGAAGTATTCTATATTGATTTTGGGTTTTAGGATACGAGTTCCATATCCATTTCAATGGGGAGCACCTTCATTTGACGCAGGTGAAGCCTTTGCCATGATGATGGCATCCTTTGTTGCTCTTGTAGAGGTAATTTCTTTCTTTAAGTCATTTATCTCTCTCTTTTTAAGTTGGAATAATAATTCTTTTTTTATTTATTAATTCTTATAATTCTTCCTATGCAATAAGTATTTATTTTATTAGCTTTTGTATTCAATACTTCCCTGGCTCTTCCAGGAATTCTTTTAGTGCATTGCAGCTAGACATCTAGGATAACATGTCTGATGTTTCTTATTTTTCCTGTTGACCGTTAGTGAAATTATCCTGCTTTCTTAAATTAAATTTAACAATCTAGTAGCTTAGCATCATGGTTAGGTTTGTTTGTCTTTTATGCCTCCTTAGAAAAAAGCATGTAGTACTGAAGTAAGGTTTTTAAAATTTAACCCTGAGGAATTTTTATCAGTAGTTTGGCAAATGTAAAAAATGGCTGATTTTTTCTTGAATGGTGATTGGAAATTGTAAACAATATTGATAATGCTACCTACTTAATGTAAATAATGGCTTTATAAGATAACTTCAGCAACAATACGAAAATAATTACTATATAAATCACCATAAATTAGGTTGGAGATTGTTTGGTTTGCTAATGAATGGCCGGAAGTATAGTACAATGTAATGGCTTCAGATGGTGGGAGATTGATCTAAATTCTTGTTTCTTAGTTTATAAGCTATATTCAACCATTGCAATAGATATTACCTTTGTTTGCAATTCACTTGAGGTAAACAGTAGTAATTAGTATGTAATTTACTAAAATTTGGCCCTGCATGTGGTAGTGTTACTACATGCACGATGACATACTGACCAAATATTATTTGGCTTCTGTAGTAATGCACTAACTCTCAGTGCTATGCAGGTGCTACTTGCTAGTATGCATTTTCATTGGATAGTACTGCTTCACTAGAATTAATTTATACACTAACAATTCATTTGTTACAAGCAGTCCAGTGGAGGTTATATTGCTGTTTATCGGTATGCAAGTGCCACACCATTACCGCCATCTATTCTTAGTCGTGGCATCGGTTGGCAGGTAACTAATAGCTAGTACTTCTGCAATTATATATCTATAAATAAGTTTTATTGCAATTATAAATAGAAGAAAACTTAAATCAAGTTCCTTAGATCCCTGTCATCTAATTTTCAAATTAATGACACGTGGATGTATTTTTCAATATTAAATATCCTCCATCAAAAATATGATTCCGAATAAGAAAAGATAATCACATTTCATTATCTGATTTAAGAATTTGATGACAAAGATATAAGGAACTTAATCTAAATTTAATTCTTACAAATATAGTACTAGTTTAAAGTCAATTGATAAAACTGATGATTGTGCAATTTATTCTCTTCAGGGAGTTGCCATTCTGTTATCAGGATTGTTTGGAACTGGCAATGGATCCTCTGTATCTATGTAAGAATAAAGTCATTCCGTTTTAATACGAAACTCCAATTTAGAGGAAACAGCTTCCTTGTTGATGAAAGATACTTGTTTGGTTTCCATATAGAGAAAATGCTGGTCTTTTGGCTTTGACTCGTGTTGGCAGTCGAAGAGTTGTGCAAATATCTGCTGGTTTTATGATTTTCTTTTCAATTCTCGGTGAGTTGAAGATGAAGCTCGATCCAGTGCATGTAATTTGAATATGTAATTTGTCTTAACCTAGTGCATTTATTCCCATCAGCTCTTGCTAATTTTTCTTTTTATGCAGGGAAATTTGGAGCTGTTTTTGCCTCCATTCCACCTCCTATTGTTGCGGCACTGTACTGCTTGTTCTTTGCTTATGTTGGTATGCGTGATTTAATATATACTCATAAGACATTCAAACTTTTGACTTATTTTGATACTTGCGATAAACAGCATGTAATGTTCCACTTCCATTCATTATTTGTAGGAGCTGGGGGTCTAAGTTTTCTTCAATTCTGCAACCTCAACAGTTTTAGAACAAAGTTTGTTCTAGGCTTCTCAATCTTCTTGGGCTTGTCTGTGTCACAGTACTTCAATGAGTACACAGCAATTAATGGTTTTGGTCCAGTTCACACAGGAGCAAGATGGGTATGGAACTATGGATCTTGGATTAATTTGTTCTTTTGTCATGAATTCACTTACACAAACATTTTTAATGTACCTTGCAGTTCAATGATATAATCAACGTCCCATTCCAATCAAAAGCATTTGTTGCTGGTTGTGTGGCATATTTCTTGGACAACACACTACATAAGAAGGAAGGTGCTATTCGGAAAGACAGAGGAAAACATTGGTGGGACAAGTACCGATCCTTCAAGACTGACACAAGAAGTGAGGAGTTTTATTCACTGCCTTTCAACCTAAACAAATACTTCCCATCTGTGTAACTGTGCAGCTGAGTTAGTAAGGGGGTTTCATCGAATATTGTTTCACAAAAGGCCATGATTTGACTTGTAATAATATGAGATTTGATCTTATTACAGGTTATAGTTATATGAAGTCCTCTTTTGCTATATAGAATATTCTAGAACATTTGTTTTATTGCTTTTCATTCTGTAAATGCTGACTTGGAAAATGGATTCACTGTAACTGTAGTAAAGTGCGCAATTTATTTATCATTCATTATGTTCACTTTTATAATCTTTATTTCATACAGTGCATTGTTTTTAGCTTATTATTTTTTTTTTTGTAAATTGAAAATTTGAGTATCTACGAGACTACAAATACGTGACGTGATGGTTTCAGATTACTTACCTTTTTGGGAAATGATAACCAGTGGGGCCGAAGCACAAAAGAGGAAGAATTACATGGGCATTATCAAAGGGATTGAGTACATATCCAACAGCTGAACTTAACATGTATTAGATCTAGTATATTGTTTATATTTGCGTTGCATTTGATAATAAACGTGGGAATTTAGAATAAAAATTTAACTTCCAAGATCATAGCAAAGAAATATTATTAAGCGCCAATCAGAGACTGCAAATGTAGATAGAAAATGAATGAAAATCTCCAATATTGTAATCTTTTTGTTTTGCACAATTCATGACATTCCTAATATATGAGGGTTGTTTCCATGTAAGAGGAGATTATTAAATCATTGCAAATTTGCATAACCATTGTATCAATATGACACTAGTACTATTTTATGGTACAATTGATTTTGGAAGAAATATCCACCGACCCCAGCATTTGGCTTCGTCATTCATTGCTAATCTCTTTGGGGTAACACTGAAAAATACAACCTAGCGTGAGCCTTCGAAAAACTGATCCGAAAATTATTCTACTATTGAAACTAAAACCATAACTCCATAAGTCATAATGAGGAGCAGGGAAAATGACCACCCCCTAATCTGGCCCAACATTATTAGCTCACTACATATATTGGTTGTCTATGATTATTCGCATCTTTCTTCGATTTGATGGGTAATTTAGGAGTTAAATCTGACTTTTGAGCGTAATATTTATATATGATAGGTTTATGGTGTTTGCGTTAAGCAAAGGCGAAAATTTAATCTCAAAGAAGAAGAAAAGAACAAATGCAAAGGGCTACAAAATAACAAGAATGAAATAGAAGCATCACCTTGAGATCAATACACATCTGGCTGAGGCCTTGACACGTGTTGGCTAGAAGCTGCAATGTTGTTTTACGGTTCCTCATGGGGAAATTGACCTTGTAGGTGAAGAGCATGGTGACAATATTTGTTCTAGATACATTATACATTGTTCCAAGTTGTTGTTATTTATTTATTTATTTATTGTAAAAAATTTAAATTAGGATAGACATAATCTCATTTAAGGTTAGAATTAATCACTAACTTTTTTAAAGATTTTCAATGAAATTACAGATCGTTTATCACATCATCATCAATATTAATTTACATGTGAGGATATAAAACACAAGAAAAATTGTGTTTAATTTCTAATTTTAACTAGTAGGAATGAAAAGACTTATTCATATGTGTCATTATTGCATAACTATTTGTTTTAAAAGTTGACAAGTGAACTTGTCTTTGGGGTTAACTAAGATGAGAAAAGTTCAAATTTAGCAACATTAACTTAAATAAATAAAATAATAAAAATTATACCTTTTCATTTTTATAAATTAAGCTATTAAACATTATATTTAAGTAAAAATGGATAAATTATATATTTTCAATTTTTTCTTCCAAAATTAATCAAAGGAGCAGAAGATTTAGCATGTACACTACCATTTGAAAGAG